CTGGGCCAAATCCCTCCTCCCCATGGTGCCTCTACGCTCACCTGAGGCTGAGAGGCAGGGTGGACACCCACTGCTCCCTCAGTCACTAAAGATTACCCTTTCCAGAGGTGACATCTGTTTTAAACTTAAAATTTCTTCTTACATAGACTCTTCTGAACATTATGGATCTTTCTTTTTTTTTGAGACGGAGTTTCATTCTTGTCACCCAGGCTGTAGTGCAATGACGCAACCTTGGCTCACTGCAACCTCCACCTCCCAAGTTCAAGTGATTCTCCTGTCTCAGCCTCCCGAGTAGCTGGGATTATAGACACCTGCCACCACGCCCAGCTAATTTTTTTTTTTTTTGAGACGGAGTCTCACTGTCGCCCAGGCTGGAGTGCAGTGGCGTGATCTCGGCTCACTGCAAGCTCTGCCTCCTGGGTTCACACCATTCTCCTGCGTCAGCCTCCTGAGTAGCTGGGACTACAGGTGCCCGCCACCACGCCTGGCTAATTTTTTGTGTTTTTAGTAGACATGGGGTTTCACTGTGTCAGCCACGATGGTCTCGATCTCCTGACCTCGTGATCCACCCACCTCGGCCTCCCAAAGTGCTGGGATTACAGATGCCCAGCTAATTTTTGTATTTTTAGTAGAGACGGGATTTCACCACATTGGCCAGGTTGGTCTCGAACTCCTGACCTCAGGAGATCCACCCGCCTCGGCCTTCCAAAGTGCTGGAATTACGGGCGTGAGCCACCAGGCCTGGCCTACAAGCCTCTTTTTGATGACTTGGGTTTGTTGTTGAGAACATCAGGCTGAGCTGACGGCCCTCCCTGAGCTGACGGTCCTCCCTGAGCTGATGGCCCCCACTGAGCTGACGGCCCTACCTGAGCTGACAGTCCTCCCTGAGCTGACGGTCCTCCCTGAGCTGATGGTCCTCCCTGAGCTGACGGCCCTCACGCCCCGGGAGCAGAGGATGTTTGCCATTGTGCTTCCTTGAAGAGATCCCTGAAACCAGCTGGCCTTGTGTTTTGCTCATAAAGAGGAAGAGCTAGTTATCGGCTGCCTGTGTCCAGGGCTCACAGCACTGCTGTCTGTAGTTGTCTTTGCTTTTGTTTTTACAAAATAATCCCTGCAAAATGATTGTCCCATCTTCCAGAAAATCATCATCTTCATGGTGGCACATGGTAGCTTTTTAGGGACAGACATGACTCTGTCCAGGACTGGACTCCCACTGTTGACTGCCACAGGGGCAGGTTCTTCCCTCACATCTGAGCCTCCGGGCTTGCCACTGTCAGGAGAGATGACCACCGCCATGGGACACTGCCACCACCCGGGGAGTCAGCCACCATCAGGGGAGACGGCCACCGCCAGGGGAGGTGGCCACTGCTAAGGGAGATGGCCACTGTTCCACACACCTGACACTGGTCACTCTCCTCTTTCTGTTCTCCTTTACGTGTGACCTTATACAGAATCCAGCCCACAGCTGTACTGCAGATGTTGACCTGAATGTCACTGTGAGATGGAAAGTCCTGTGTGAACCTCCTGACGGATCATGGCATTGTGAGATGCTTTTTGTGGTGGGATCGCATTTTGCGTGGCACTGCGGTCTAAAGGTTAACTTTAGTCAAGGCACTCTGGCAGTCAGGAAGAGGATTAAGACAGCACACTAGAGGAACCATGATTCCCTGATAAGCTCTGTAGGCTGTCCAGCAATGGAATACTTCTACCCTCCTTAGAGAAGTCAAGTGATTCTGGAAGACTCTTTCATTGGAGGTTCAAAAAATTTAAAAATTAGTAAAACAAAGATGAAAGGCTCCTGATCCTACAAGCTCAATCTTATCTGTAGAAGCAGTTTGCAAATAACCGTGAGAACTTCAAGTCCCGCTACTGGCATTTGGTAATAAGCAAAGGTTTAATTGCATGGGAGCCAGAAGCGGGACCGCACGTGAAAACAGCTACCTGTCCTTAAGCCTGCAAGTCTCAGGGAAGTTGACTCGCCAGCGTTTGCTAAAAAACCATCAGGCAGTCTTCACCAAGACAGAAAAGGCTGGTCAGCCAGGGTCATAAGAACTGCTGAGAGGCGAGAGCCACTCAGAAATGGGCTCGCGGTGAGAGCTGCTGGCTGCGTGACGTTTGCCTGATCCTTTCTCCGGCAGCACTATTTAGGCTTGCATTGCTATGTCTCCCTTTGAAATAACAAAACGACTCGTCAGAGAATGCTCAGTTCTGTAAACACGTTTCACTTTTCAGTTAGCTCTGGGTCAGGGAACCATAGTACATTTTTCACCAAGGAAGCTGGAAAACCACATCCCAGAATAACTTTTCTACGCCGCTAGTTCTCTCCCGCTGCTTTGTATGAACCATGGTGTATTGTGCAGCTTCGACTTTGGTTGCTTGTTGCTGTTCTAAATGTCCTCTCCAGCCACTGGAATGGCTCTTGGCATGGTGTCTCTGCTCCAGCGTGTCATCACTGAACAGAGTGCAGTCCTCAGAGACCGCTGAAGGCGGTGGTGCCAGCCCTTGCATGACATGCTGCGATGAGCCTCACTTGGCTGGCACGGTACAAGGACTAGAGGAAACAGCTCTCAAGAGACACATCGCTGCCCTTCCAGGAACCAGAGCTTGCCCCATTTATCTCTCTGCCCTTGACACGCTCTGCTTTTGGACAGTGTCTGTGGGTCCCCCTGCAGCCACCTGCTTCTATCTTCACTGTCGTTGTTCCCTCTGTGGGCCCATTTCCTCTCCGTCTGTATTCTTTCTACCTTCTTCCTCTTTTGTGCACAGGTTTTCCAGCAGATCACGGGCTTCTGCCTGAGAAATCTCTTCCTTCTTTCAGGCCAGAGCTCTCACCAGGTAGGGCCTTTCACATGAAATCTCCAGTTTTGGGGCCTAGGTCCACAATTTCTGCCTCCATTTGAGTTCAGGGGCTATTTCTTCATAGCCAGGGGCAATTTATCCTTCCTTCTTAATTTTAACCAGCATTCAGTTAAAAAACAAAAACAAAAAACCCTGCAAACAGTAGCGCTCCAGGAATAAAATATAAATAAACACTGCTTCTAACTCAGCTGCCTGCCGTGGGTACAGCTTTGCTCCCAGTGATTTCCACGACCACAGGGAACAATTCAAATTCTTGCCTGCTGGAGCCAAGTCGCCCTCGTCTTCCCTATGTCTGAGCTTAGGGCCAAGTATCCATAATACGTGGGAGACTATGCAAATAAACACTCTCTTCTGCCATAAGGTGGGAATAGACAGAAAAAGACATGTTTTATGGTTGGTTTTGCTACAACTCATCTTTTTCTGGAAAGTGACTGACAAATAATTGGATTTTGCTCCACCCTCAAGGCAGGGTCAGTATGCATCTCTACGTTGTTCCTATAAAGAAACTAAGCTGTGTTCAAGATGCTATTGCATAACCTTCATGTTTTAATTTAAGACGACAAATAAATATTAAAGGTAAAAGAGGAAAAAAAAATCCCTAACAGAATTTTCTACCGAGGCCACCTGCAGCATCATTAATCACTCTCCCCACCCCCCCAAAACCTTCAGACCAGGTTTTGTATGTTGAGGGGCAGGAGCCCGTGAGAGCCCCCTGAAATCAGTGTGCAGGGCTGGCTAAAGAAAAGGTGGGGGTAGCAGATACAGAAGGGCCTTATTTGAAACGATGATTCAGGAGGAAGTCAACTGACCTGATTAATTTTAGTTTTTCTTCAGTGTGTGCTAAAAATACCTTAGAAAAATAAAATCCAGTGGGCTCACCAACAGCAGTTTTATTCCTGGGGTAGAGGACACAGAGGCACACATGGTGAGGAAGCTGCTGCTCTAAGAATAAGGCTGTGTGCCACCCAGTTGGCAACTCTGCCACCCGAGGCGGGTCCCCTGGCCTGCTCACGGGGCACCTGTCAGAGGAGATAGATTTGAACGAAACCAACATGGCAATGCTTCTGAAACTGACTGTGGCATAAAGCAGCTCTCTGCAGTCTCCGTGCAGAGGCACAATGTAAGCCACCTGATGCTGGCCAGGATGGTGGCAGAGCTGGAAGGCACAGTCCGCCCAGCCCTTAGAAATAGGACTTCCCTGGAGGCTCAGCAAAGTGGCAGGTGGTGTGTGAGGAGGCTGACATCTTAAAGGCTCTCAGTTTACTTCGAGAGATATAAGCATGAAAGGCACTGGCTGGTCGCAACCAACAACTAGGGCCGCAGCATCAGCGCCAGGGCAGTCGCTGAGACGGAGCGATGGTGCAGTGGGTGAGGACACAGACTCGTCCGGGTTCCACCACCTATCCGCTGTGTGCTTTCTGGCAAGTTACTCAGCTTCTCTGTGCCCTCCACTGCAAACTGGGGCCCACGGTACCCATCTCACAGGGCTGTTGGGATGATTAAGTGAATTAATATTTGTAAGGCACAAAGAACAGGGCCTGGCACACAGTGTTTAAATAAATGAAAAAAAAAAATGGGAATCGAACAGGGAGAGTGTGAAAAAAGCTGACAACATCAGAATTGGTGCCTGACACTCACTCCCTGCAGTGGAGACATCGGTGGAAGAGGGGGCGGGGCCCAGGCCCTGCCTACGAGCTGGCTAGGATGGGGTTGTGCTTCAGGGCTCCCATCGGTGCCAGGCAAATCCAGGAAAGCTGGAGACAGACACGAAGCCTGAGTCCAGCTGAGGATGGAAGGCTATGAATATAGCCCTGCTGGGCACGAGTCCACAAAGTCCAGACCCAAAGCAGAGCTGCCCTCACTCCCTAATTGTGCGGGCGTGCTCTGCAGCTGCCCAGCTGGAGGGTGAAGTGTGCACAGGGTTCCCCTCCCTGCCTTATCGGTCCTTACTCTCTGAAGGCAGCAGGAATCCTGGCTGCTGAGGCCACAGGACTGAGGACAAGGATGAAACCTGGCCGGTTTCCTCACCCTGTACAAGCCAGGGGCCACCGGCCTCCTCTCTCCTAGAAAAGAGGTGAGTGGGATACTCCCAGAATCTGGGGACATGGGGCTCAGAAAATAGGCTGCTTTTCTGGACTCACCACTTTGGGCTTGAACGGTGGCTGGATCTCCCTGTTCTCCAGTTTTTCCCAGTCGATCCTCCGGAAGAAGGCATGTTCCCTCACGTCCCTCTCCCCCTCAGGCCCGCAGCCCAGCCGCTTGGCTGGGTGTTTGGTCATCAGCTAGAAAGGAAAAGGAGAAAAAGAGAACAATGGATGTCAAGTGCTTCCCAGAGACAGCGCTTTCCATTTGCCTAGCTCTGCCTACAGCCCTGACTTTGTGGGTGCCTGGACAGCATCTCAGAGAGCTGATCAAGACACTCAGTGGCTTGTACGGAGTGAAGCCAACTCACAAAAATGACATTGGCAAGTGCAGCCCTGCCTATGGTGGTTTTCAAGATAAGGGAACAGGGAAGCAATCTGAACCCATGGCCAAATGGAATAAGAAGAATTTAAACAGACATCTCACACGTTATTTGTTTTGGAGACACAATGCTATACATGTATCTGGTAATAAAAAAAAAAAAAAGCATGCAATCACTAAAAATTGTGTGTGCTGAAAGCATCACAGTCTAGCATCACAGAGGATGCCATAATAAGCATCATATGTCTATGTATTGTCTGGGCTAAAATGTTATCAATCAAAGACTCATAAATTAGAAAAATAAATGCTATAACAAGGAAGGTGACTAGTTAATTCCGACTTGCCTATTGCAGGACACAGAGACAAACAACAGCTATGAGCTCTTTGAAGGCAGACGCCAGTTCCTCCCGACCTCAGTGTCTCTCCCAAGTGCCTTGCTCTTGGATGACACGTGACTAATGCCTCACAAATGATCACACTCACCAGATACTGTTAAGGGTATATTGTATTCCATCTTATTAAGCCTGAAAATAGCTTTGTGATCTAACTCTTGACCATTCAAAACTAGACAGACAAATCATGATCAGCAACTCTATTCCTAGAGCATTTTCTCAACCAAAGTGTGTGCATATCTTCACCAAAACACACGCCCCAGAAGGTTCACAGCAGTTCTGCTTGTAACAGCCTCAAACCAAAGCAAGAACCATCCAAATACCCACCAGAAGGAGAATGGATAAGGAAACGATGGTGTGTTCACACGGCGGAACACTGCACAACAATATGACAGGAGGAACTATAACCCCACACAACAATGCAGACAAAATCCTCAATCACGATATTGAGTCAAAGCAGCCAGGCCAGGAGCAACACTACAAGGTTCAGTTTGTGCAGAGTTCAAAACAGGCCAAGACTAATCCATGCTGTCCAAACCTCGGGGGCAGGTTATCTCCGGGCAGGGTAGTGACTGTAGATGGGACAGGAGGGGGCTTCCAGGGTGGTGGAAACACGGTTTCCTGAGCTGGGTGCAATTACACGGGTGGATTCATTTTGTGGAGATTCATTTATCAGCATATTGGTGATTTGTGCCATTGCTGTTTGTATGCTACAGCTCAAGAAAAGTGCAATAAACAAAGAACTAACTAAGTCGCACCAAGTGAGATAGGCGACGAGAGCACACACTTTCTAAGGGCCTCTGACGACATCTGGTAGTCCCCACCACAATTTTATGAAATGGATTAGAATGAAAAGTGCAGTACAGTCATTAGGTGACTGGGCCAGAGTCCCAGGAAGTATTGGGATTCCAATCCATTCTCCCGGCCTTCACTTTCCCCACTGTGCCCTGTGTGACACCAAGCCCCAACCGTCGACGGCCAAAATGCAGTGGTGTGGGTTTGTGGTATTTCTGCCATCTCTCTTGGAAGTGTGGGGAAAGTATTTCTCCTACCAAAGCTCTTGGTCTATGACCACAAAAGGTATCCAAATCGACTTACTCCTTTGCAGATGGAAACAGCCTCCTTGGACAAGGATTTTGGATAGGAAACGTTGTGCTCCATGATAGACTGAAATAGCTCGTCCTCATCTTCACCATCAAATGGAGGCTGTTGTGGAAAAAAAGAAAGATGGGAAGGTATTTAGGCAGAGTAATTCTTTCACATGGTACCTGAAGAGCCAACACAGCACCAAGGAACAGACCAGGTTTCTCAGCCCCCCGCAGGCTGCACAGTTAGCTCAGTGAACTTGAGGGTTTATTTGATTATCTTTAATGAGGTTGACGGTTGTGTGTTTTCCATTTTTTCCCCTCTGTCTCGTTAATTATCTTGCCCTGGGCAACCCAAACAATCTTCAGGGAAAGTGTTTTTGAGTAATGTTTTTAATGATTTGCAAATAAACTATGATTAATCCATTAATCTTGTAAGTATGTGCTAAAAATCTAATTATGATCAAGTTAGGTTACAGACAGCTTTGTAGTCAGAAGGTAGGGGTGGCCGGTAGAAAATGCCAACACTTTCATTTGGGGTGAAGGGGACTTGAGAACATGGCCTAAGAGGATGTCCCCAGTAATTCATACCAGGCCTCTGACCCAACAAGGAGCTGCTTTGCTGGGGGGGCCTTCCATCTGCACAGTAGCAGTGATGGGACCTCAGCTTCCATTGGACGACTCCTCCCTCGTCCACTGTGACTGGGTTTACAGTTACCAGGCTGAGAGAGGAAGGCACGCTGGCCCCGTGGGAGCTCATGGCTTTAGAGTTAGGTGGATCTGGACCAGAATTCTAGCTCTACTAACTTCCTAGCTGGGTGTCTATAGGCAAATGACTTTGTTCTTTAAAACACAGTTCTCCAACTGGTAAGATGGGGTTTCTGGGAGTAAAGTGCCTTGTATTTTGTGGTGTACCCAATAAGTGCCCAATGAAGGCAACTTAGTGGTGCTATTATTTAAGGCAGAGCAACTCTCTTGGGAAGGGCCTTGAGAATCTTCTAGAAAGAAAGGCTGAGCTCACGATGTCCTTTGAACTTTTTCCTCCAGCATGTCTGTAGTCCTGAGGGATCCATTACTTCCCTGTCACTCTGGTGGGATGGCACAGGAGGAAAGCGTTCGTGGGAAATTCTGTAATGCTTCCCTTTGGCTCTGTAACCTTGAGCATAGCATAAGAAAGGCAGAGCAGGGCCCAGCCCAGCGCTTGTACAGAATCCTCGTTTAATCTGGAGATGTTCCCTTCTCGTGGGAAAGAGGAGTCAGTCACTGGCTGACATGGGCAGGTCACACAGTGACGGTGTTTGGCTTCATTTTGAACTGAGTCCTGGATCACAGGTAACTGTGCAGTAGTCAGAAGGATGCCCTTCTTATCAAACATTTTCTCCCAAGTCAGAGGCAGCCGTTGAGCCAAGCAGATCCCTCCCCTCAACCACCACCCACAAATCACCTCAACCTGTTCATCCAGCACCCGAGACCTGACCTCAGTCTCCTGCCCAGTCCTGAACGGGAGCCACGTGCCCCGAGGGAAAGATGCCAAGTCTATAAAGAGCCCCAGTGGGAGGACAGAGAGAGGCCTGGGTGTCTGGTACCACTCAACATTTTTTTGGTCTGGAAATACAACAGGCCTCTTTTTCTGTTGTAAGTGCCTGGTGTAAAGAAGGTTTAATTTGGCTGAAGCTGCAGGTGAGTGAAGAGAGCTAAAATGAGCCTGCCTGTGAGGGACTCAGAGCAGGGCAGGGGCAGCTGGCCACAGCGACTTCCACCAGTAGGAATAACATGGAGACTGGGAGGCCCCCAGGGCAGCTTGGAGGGGCACCCACCAGGGGGTGCAGGCTGCCGACAGCCACCTGTGTCAGCAGGGGGACAGGTAGCTTCTATCTGCAGAGGGCAGAGCAGGCAGGCAGTGGTGGGGGAGAGCTGTGACGGAGCTACAGTGCAGGTTGGCCCTGTGTCCGACCCACCGTATCTTCCCTGCCCAACAGCACGCAGCCTGCTTCTTCTGGACACCTATTATAGGTCACCCATGACATTTTCCCTCATCAGTGATCCATAAACCTGGCTGAGTTTTGGCGAAGGAGGTTTTTGTAACTAAAACAAATGTAGTGGCTGGGCGTGGTGGCTCATGCCTCTAATCCCAGCACTTTGGGAGGCCAAGGTGGGTGGATTACCTGAGGTCAGGAGTTCAAGACCAGCCTGGCCAACATGGCGAGACTTCATCTCTACTAAAAACACAAAAAATTAGCTGACTGTGGTGGCACACGCCTGTAGTCCCAGTTCCTCGGGAGGCTGAGGCATGAGAATCACTTGAACCCAGGAGGCAGAAGTTGCAGTGAGCTTGGACTGCACTGCTGTACTCTAGCCTGAGAGACAGAGCAAGACTGTTTCCAAAACAAAAACATGGCGTGGTTTCTGCTCGGCATGGCCTGCACCCTGCAGGGGTGCAAGGCTCCTGAACTGGCTGTGTGACACTCTCTGCAATGCAAACGTGACCTGGCGGGGAAGGGGGCAGAGGCTCTGCTTCCAGGTCACTGATTGGCACCTCACCACGTGGCCCAAGAGGGCCTGTCGTCAGGGCCAGACACATACTTTCCAAGTCTTAGTGCAAAATGAAAACGGGAGTCCCTCATTTCAAAACTATGAGGAATTTCCAGATGGCGACAGCATAGCACCAAACCAAATGCAAAGCCCTGTGCGACTGTGTAGGCTGCATGCCCCCGAAGCAGGCTAAATGGGGTGCACCTTGTTGGGCAGCGACAAAGGTGCCAGCAAAATTCAACCAGCCTCTCTGGAGGTGCTTGAATCTTAGTTGCAGGAATGCTGCAGGGGCCAAGTCACAGACAATGCAAACCAAAGGCCTAAGAGAAACGTTCTCTAAGAAACACATGTGGAGCTTCCCCAGGAATCTGGCTTGAGTAGGGCAGTGAGAAGTTTCTTCTCATTTGAAGATGATTAGATCAATGCAGCTGCAGCCACCCCACCTCCAAATGTGGAAGGCCAGAAATTGTTTGGGGAACATTCTGTGCAGGGCACTGGCCTACCACATCTACTTAATTGTCTCCTGGCAAGGGAACCAGCTTTGCCAGGTGAGCTGTCCCCACATGTGCTCATTTCTGAAGGCGAATGGCTGTATCAGGGATTCGATTCTATAGACCAAAGGAGGACTTTTACTGTCAAGTCTTCTTTGGGTCCCACTGAAGGCTGGATACGGACACTCCCCAAAGAATATTCCTCAGAACATTAATCCTACAGCATCTTCCTAGGTCCAAGTTTGCATCCTATACTCCTCTCTGGCAATTTGCTTTAACATTTAAATTGTAAAGGCCCTGAGAAGTCCTGCAGTGAACAAAGCTGTTTAACTCAATGTGAATTCTTAGTCCAGGGCTGGAAGGATCCTCAGAGGCCTCTTAGGCTTGTGTGGTGGAATAAGATGCTTAAGCTATAACAAAGCCATAAGACCAAACACTCCTGTGACAGAGCCTGTGCATTCCAGCTTTGATGTGGCCCCAAGGATTAGGGATTCTCCATCACCACAGCCCAGGGAGGGGACATATCTCTGTCCCTCACGTTTTTCACTGCTGTGAGTCTATGTTGCCCAATAAGGCAGGAGCATTGTGGGCACGAGGGGAGGAGCAGCGACAGTGACCACAGTGGTGTTCACTTCTCAGCCCCTCTCTGCATGTCAGGCGCTGTGCAGACAGCTTGGGTGGCACTGCTCACTCAGGGTGGCACTGCTCACTCAATCCGCAAATCAGTCTCAGGACCCAGGCGCTAACCCAGACATCCTGAATTTGGAGCCTGGGGCTCTTAGCCATTATGGGCAATTCTGCCTGCCCTGCTGTGAAGGGTGACATCCAACACTGCTCCTGGTAGGGGTGAAGTCAGGCGGGGGGGCGGGGACTCGGCTACAGGCCCACCCAGCATGTAAAGAGAACTCTGATGAGGGCAAGGGTGTTGCGGTAAATTTTAGAAGGCTGATTCACAGCCAACACAATGTGCAGTGATGAGTTCTGAAAATGAAGAGGTGGGGCAGCCCCGGGGGCCTGAGATGTTTCAAGTCATCCCATAGACAGCAACCGGCCTCTGGGCTAGAGACCTGGCATGGTTTCCCAGCTCTAATGAATTGATGGGAATCAGGCTGGCTCCCTCCTTCCCAGCTGCTGGCCGATGCAGCTTCTGTGCTTCCCCAAATTCCTGCTGGCTGAAGATGGCATGAACCTGAAGAAGGTAAAAGAGGGCTGTTCTTGGGTGTAGGGGAGAGGAGTAGTTAAGTGCCTTCTCCCAGCTTTGGAATACCATCAAATCAAAGGCATCCTTTTTCCTAATCTGTTTCCTCTGTTGCAAAGATAGAGACTATTTTTTTTTCATTGTGATAAAACATATATAACACAGGCTGGGTGTGGTGGCTCACGCCTATAATCCCAGCACTTTGGGAGGTCGAGGCGGGCAGATCACAAGGTCAAGAGTTTGAGACCAGCCTGGCCAACATGGTGAAACCCCGTCTCTACTAAAAATACAAAAATTAGCTGGGCATGGTAGAGGGCGCCTGTAGTCCCTGTTACTTGGGAGACTGAGGCAGGAGAATCGCTTGAACCCAGGAGGCGGAGGTTGCAGTGAGCCGATATTGCACCACTGCACTCCAGCCTGGGCGACAGAGTGAGACTGTCTCACAAAAACAACCAACCAAAAAAACAAAACCATATATATGTGTGTGTGTGTGTGTGTGTGTGTGTGTGTGTGTGTGTACGTATTATATAACACAAAATTTACCATCTTAACCGCTTTTAAGTGCACTGCACTGAGGTATTAAGTACGTTCATGTTGTTCCGTAAGCATCACCGCTGGCCATCTCCAGAACTTTTTCATCTTCCCAACTGAAACTCCACTCACAAAACAGACTCCACATTCTCCCGTCCCCTCAGCCCCTGGCAGCCACCATTCGGCTTTCTGTCGCTATGATTTGACTGCTCTAGGCATCTCATATAAGTGGGGTGATACATGTCCCTGTGACTGGCTTACTTCAAGATGTAGACTATTGGTATCTTAACTGTGCCTTCGGGGATCAGTAAGGATAGGCTGGGTCCTGCTGTGGAAACAAACAACTGAGACCATCTCCAAAGCATACGA